AGTGCCGCTGTCGGAAAACAACTAATTATATCAGCAGATTACGTGCTGTGAGCAATATTCTTAGAAAACCAAACGCGGATCTCCCAAGTGTTCGTGTCGAGTTGATTTGCCGACAGACTTCCGGCAGAATTGGAAATCCCCTTCTGACACTGACAGCATCCTTTTTCTTGATTTGTCCCACTCAACATTTCCGCATAGCTTACTTAACCCGATTTCGCGCATACAGTGAGCTAACTAGGAATTTGCAGGTTGCAAACACCTCCGAAGGCGCCCCAGAATCTCATCTAAGATAGCAGAAAAAAATGAAATATAACTACCACCACCACCAAAGCCAAAGCATGTCCTGAAATCCTTTTCTTCTTTTAGTAGACTACATTGGGTCAGCAGATGTTTGACTATCTACCCCGAAAATGATATATGTAAACGTATACTTACCCTACTTATTCGCTTGGTCGCAGAGTACCCCATGAAGTCACATAAAAAGAAACCATGTTATATGCATACAACAGCATATACAGGGGATTTCATTTGGTGCTAGGTTAATTCAGATTAGATCCACACGCCGCGCCAATTCAGATCGCAGCCGCCGCCTTTTTGCTGTTGTGTAAAATCCCGGTCAGTGTACGTTGTGGACCAGGGGGCAAAGAGGTACTTCTAGGTGGTGATGTTCGCAGTACCAGTCGTCTACGCCCTCTCCCGCTTTCGGCCTTTTTGCTGATACCGATCACGGAGGAGAGCGCGCAGCAGATGCTGCGCAAGTCACCGTCTCTGACCTCACTATCCTATGGAGCACACAGTGGGCATGGTCGGCAACGGTGGTTGAACCGTCGTGAGGTATGAGTCGATGCCTGGATGGGGGAGGTTGAGTCTCGGCGGGGTTTGTTCAGCATGGTGGCTCGGCGCGACACTTCAATTTCTGTTTGATTTTGTGCGCTTTGAGAATGATGGGCTGAGTTTAATACCACAACAACTAGCCGATAGATGCCACGAGTCAACAACTGGCTGGACGCAGTGGGGAGAGAGAGACTGAGGTCCGAACATCTACTTGTCCTTCTATGACTCCGCCTTCAAGGCTACTTTCTCCAAAACTTTTGCACTGAAATGGTGACGACTAAGGGCGAGGGTGGGATGCTTCTCATAACTTGAAAATAATTCACTATAGTACCAACAGACAGAGAATTTTAAGCGTGTCGCTGGCGCCTGTCAAACATGAAAGGGATGCGAGCTCTCGGAAGCAATGCACTCGGATGAGGAATGCGTCAATGAGCAAAAAGATTTAGATGCCGCAAAGTTAACAAAGGCGAGAGTTCCCAGATGATTATCTGACAAAGCGGGGTTGCTCACCGAAACAGATTCGTCCTGATACTGACATTTCTAAGAGCTTAGTCGGTTCTCCATCTTCAAAGCATCTAATGTCGAAAATCGATCAGAATTTGAAATGACTGGCCGAGCTAGTCAGCCCCAGACTGATCAGTTTTTTCCTTCTTTTGCTGTCGCACACTTTTGCTAGATGCTTTTACGACTTGACAGTCATCTTAGTTTACCGGCAAACGGTTCACCAATTACAAAAACTTCTGCCACTCAGTTCTTTGAACGGATAAAGCACCTGAGGTTAGGGCCAGATGAATGCACGGTATTGACTGATGTCATTCCACTCTTCACCTCCATTCGACAGCAACAAGCGATTGACGTTGAGACAACTGCCTGAATGATACGACGAGAGGGCAAAGCCCCTGAAGCTCGGACGTTTGCTCGAACTTATGTGATATTGCCTGAATACCTACTTCACCTTCAGTGGACAAATGCATGAGCAAATTAGAGGCGCTCCCATGGGTCCAACGCTATCGGGCCCGATCGCTGAAGTGGGCTTTCCATGGATAGAACACTTGGTGTTCCTCAAGTATCAACCAAAGTTTTCGGCTCGTTAGGTCGATGACACTTTCCTCATTGTCCTCGAGGGCCCTCAGAGAGCTACTGAGTTCGATTAACCCGAATATCCTAGCCACGATGGAGGCTGAAACAAATAACCAACTTTACTTGCCCAATGTCCCTGTGCGCCGGTGTGAAACTGGACAACTACAAACTATAGTACTCAGGTGGGCCCTAAGCAGAAGGCAAACATTGGCACCTCATAAGAAGTCTGTCTCACCGGACGGGGAGAGAAGGGGGCCACTAGGCCGAATAGTCCCCACGGAGGCCCGCCATGCCTCCATCGTGGTGCTGACTCAGCGCACACGGTCATCAAGCCCTCCAAACATCTACTAAAAAGGGTGAGCCAGTGAGGGAAAATGATCCACCCAAGACCAACAACTTCGACACGTGACTTCCATTTCTGTTTGATCTTCTCTACTTGACAACAGTGGGTCGACCAAGCTCTCCGACGCGTCAGCAATTCAATAAATCTGTTACGGTGAACGACGCCTCTCCCCCAATGTTTACTCATGATGACTTACGGTTATGGGGGCAGTATCCAATACGGTAAAGAACTCGGCGACCTCGGTTGGATTCGAAGCCACAACAACAACCAGCGCTCTGGCCACCCGAGCCGCGAGGCCCAACCAGGAGATGTGAGTTTAATCTCCTTTGGGTCAAGTTACACGCCTTAGCAGAAAATGCAGTTTAAGAATGTATGTATTAGCATGGGATGCCCTGATGGTACTTTTCTCGCAGGCATTACGAACAGCATTCAAATGCGACGTTGGAGTGGAGCTGGCGTTTCGCGCTGTTCACAGGATACAATGCGGTACAGAGGTTTGATTCCAATGGCGGGTAATTACAATGAGTGAGCGATCTCATGAAATGTTGGTCGAAATTCTGAAATGCGTTTTCGATTAGGATGAATTACTTAGGAGTGGTCGTAATATTAATTATCATGCGACATAATCCCATAATCTAAAGAAATATTTCCCGGGGATGAATTTAAATCAGGCTGAGACAGCAGAATTTATTGGAACCAATAGATTTCGCGACGGCTTATCAATTGCAACCTGTCGTTGCATAACACAGATAACAAATGAGAAAGATACAGAGGTTTGAACTTCGGCAGAGAAAATCAATGTAAAACAGCAAGGTCATCGTATACTGCACGTAGACTAATCGATAAAATGGTAACAGGAAAGAAAACGGGGAAGTCAACACGCCGAGGGATTTCGCAAATTAAAAGGGGTTCAGATCTACCAGGGCAAGCTGAGGTTGACCACACGGTCTAACGGCTTGCATAGGTCGGGTTTCTCCTGCCATATGTAGGCTGCCTCCAAGTAACACAGTAACCGAGTTGTTCGTGCTCGAACTCATACAACCGAATGGCCACTATCAAGAAGGTGCTTTGTAATAGAAGACCGTGGATTCTTATTCTCCTGCTTTAGAAGCCATTTACGCAAGTGCTCAACTGGCCTGCTGCCAATTGCCTTAGCGTTCGCCCAATGTACTTGCATCCACAAGTGCATGTGAATTTGTAAACACAATTTGACGTGGCGTGGGAGGAACCTGTAAACAGCTAGACCACGTGGTCAACCTCAGCTTGCCGTGGTAGATCTGAGCCCCTTTTGATTTGTGAAATCCCTCGGCGTGTTAACTTCCCAGTTTTCTTTCCTATGTTGCGTTTTCAAGTTACCATTTTATCGATCAGTCTGTGGAAGTTCAAATCTCTGTATCTTTCTCACTTGCTGTGTTGCGCAACGACAGGCTGCAATTGATAAGCCGTCGCGAAATCTATTGGTCCCAATAAATTCTGCTCTTTACGCATTCTTCGAATATAATCCTATAATATTTCGAACTTGGCACGATACCGACTTTCGAATGAACTTTCCAGATTCGTGAAAAAACGATACTCTGCAAAGGGTGACTACTTAAGTGGCATGCACCTTTCAATTTGATTTTCAACGGTCCTGTAAATTCAAATATATTATATAGAAGACGTGCACAAGAATACAATTTCCTCTCTCATTCGGTAAAGAATCACGTCTTTACATTTTATACAGGAAAAAGGGCGTATTTAGGTTTTAAAGTTTCTACTGATGAGGTTTTTAAGAGCGTGCGATGTCTATACATACAGTATCGTACCTGTCCGTTCACCAGTGTTCCTCGTGAAATATGCAACATAGTCCGCATCCATTGCGAAATTT